TTATGCATTTTTAGATTCTGTCGCCTATAGCCCATGGCACATTTCATTTTGTACATGTGAACGGGAAGGAAAATCAATAGAGAAAAAAATTATCAGAGAGAGAGTGCTAAAAAAAAGAGCGCAAAACAAATTAAACATTATTTCAATATATGTATTGTATATACATATGTACATATTTATGTTATGTTCTAACACCTGTAATTTCGAATTTATTATATATTTTACAAACATACATATATATATACTAAAAAACTGTTTTGTAACATAAAAGCAATCATTTTCATATTGATGATACTGTCTTTATATAGGGTTTTCCAATAAAAATGATATGATTTCTTAAAAAAAAAAACACACACACACTAATTGTTAAGGAAATTCAAATTTTTTTTATTTAATGTAAGGTACAATCGATCATTTAAATGTCGTACACGATTTCTTTTGCATTTGAACGAATTCCATGAACCCAATTTTTGAGCACTATTTCCACTAAATCAAGCGCTCTGTCATGAATAGCATGTTCAATATTGGGTTTGAAAGCTGGAAGAGGGTCTGGTTTGTTGCTTAATACCAATGACTTCAAATAACCTTACAAGTAGTAGACTAACGGTGTTAAATCACGACTTCTTGGAGGCTTTTCAATGTCATAATTTAATGAAATAATCGTATCTCCAAACATTTCTCACATTAATTCGATTGTTGCACGTGCTGTGTCACGCGTAGCGCCGTTATGTTGGAACCAGATGTTGTTAAGATCAACTTCTTCCCATTGTGGCTATAAACATTTGGTTATCATCGATTTATACTGCTCGCTGCTTGACAGTATCGGTCCTAACAGCTTCATTTCGAAAGAAGTACAGACCGATGACCCACACTATACGGTAAATTTTAGTGAATGGTATGGTTATTAATGAATAATTTGTGAATTTTCTTTGCGCCAAAATCAACACTTTGGTTTATTTAACGTACCACTCAGATGAAAGTGAGCCTCATCCGAGGAGATGAAGTGCTTAAAAAAATCGTTATCATTTCAAGTTGTTGTTGTTGTTGTTTGTAAACGTTTTTCTTGCGTATATTTTGCCATGATGAAATTGTTAAAAAAAATTGCAGATCTCGACATTTTGAAAATGGTCTAGACGACTCTTAGAAATCATAACATCCCAATTGGAAGTCTCTTTAGTTTCTGCAGACATTAGCCTGACTTCATATTTACATTTTTTGTAAATTTTCTTGGCTTTCATGGTCTTCCAAGTTGTAGAAACAAAGTTATATTAACTTAGCTTTAAACTTCTACTCTAAACTTTAATTGTTGTTGTGCTCATTTGAAATCTCAACAGTGGAAACTAATTTTTCATACAGAGTCGGAAGTGTTTAACGTGAGTACTTGTGTATCTGCGTCCGTCCCGTATACAACGGGACATATCAACGCGTTGTTCAATACCCTACAACGTATTCTAGCAAATTTAATTAAATTAAATTTATATTCACTGCGAACAAAGTAAAACGATTTTATTTCGGTTATTTTCCTTGTTTCAAGATCCGAGGGCACATTCCTGTTACACATTTTACCAGATATAAGTCATCATTCAAACCTCATAGCCGAAAGTTCTTTCAGTTGAGTTACCATACACCTTGGGAGTCTGTAGGTGGATATTAGACGAGGATTTTTTAACCCCCCTCACCTGCGATGGAAAAGCCCCGCGCCCGCGGAATCTGTTATAAGTGTTTAGTGGACTAAAGGCCTATTTGTTCGTATGAATTGAATATTTTTATATTTTTCTTATACAAAAAAAGAAAAATGGTACGTACCAGATGGGGCGTACCAGACGAATACACACTCAATGAACTCAGGATTACATGAATTTGACCTGTTTTTGCGAAAACTTATTCGGCAGTAGACTTATTAAAGCTAAAAATTTCTTAAATTTAACTGTTTTTTTTATATAAATTTTCAATATGCTGAAACTGGCTTAATTGTCATTCACTAAGTGTCTGTCTCTGAATATCTGAAATATAATCCGTTGAATAACCAAAATTCTATAAATTTAATAATTTAAGTTGATTTTTCCAATGGCGAATTTCAATCCCTTCTTCTGACATGAAATAAAAGCTTCTCATAAGTACCCAACCGCCGTTGTCAACCCCTCCTTCTGATATGAAATAAATCTTCTCATAAGTATCCAATCGCCGTTAGGTGGTGGCTTAGAATGAACTGTGTAAATTGGCGCAGGAGCTTCATGAACATGAAATGAAGTATTAACTTCCGTAGCATATAAGAGAAACATTATACTGATTTAATTAGGAAACGAGCTGAGTTGTTGTAAACGTGGCCGCCGGTTTGAACCGAAAGTGTTCTCTCAGGTATAAAAGGTATACAGACTTCGGTAAAGCCGAATAGAGCTCATCTTTCTTGATTTTATTAAATACCAAACCATTAAGTTTCTCTCTTAATTGCTAATTACCTAAGGGTCTGTCTGAACATCTTACAATTTATAGCTACAAGATTACAATATCAGAACTAGGATTCGTACGAGTTCCCCGTATATACTCGTACATGCATATGTAAATGAGATTAACCGAACTTCGGCTTCGGTCATATTCACTAAAGTTAAGTTACAACTAATAAATTTGAAGAATTCAAATAGTTCCACCTTCCAAATTTCTTTGAATTTGCTTGTGAGTGACTCCTATGGCTGTCTGCAAGTCGTGATTTGCCCGTGCCATGCGATTTCCGAAGTGTTTACAGCTCAATATTTTTCAACACAACATATATGTATGTATATGCATCTACTTATGAATTTACATATATACTACATACATACTACATTTTGTCGCATGAATATTAGTTGCATTACAACATTACCACTCCCCACTCAGCTGTTTGCTTTGCTTTGATTGTGGCACGCAACTGATTATGCACACCAAAGCGACCCATTTGTGATCTACTCATTTCCTATTTCTATATTTGTCTTCTTCCTTATTTGTGCATCTACATACATACATACATATATACATATATTTAGCGGCATTTACTGTCAATTCCACGCATTTCCACTCACTTGCCATAGCAACCGCTCAAGAAACGTAAGTGAAGTGCAACCAAAAGAGAGTTCATGTGTCAGAAGCCAGGTACCTAGAGAGCAAGAGGCAAGTAGAGTACGTGTAGGTAGGTAAATAAATGCTTTGCTTTCTGCATTATGTGCATACATTCACTAAAACCAACAAGAAATATTCAACACAGTGCAGTTAGTTCTTTTGTTATTGACTGTTGACTGTGTAGACGCAGCGGAAATGGAAAAGTGTGCAAGCTGCAATACATACATACATACATATGTAGCATAGCGCAAGCAAATTGGTGGCTGAGAACGAGCGAGAAAAGATACAAAAATGTGAAATTTTTTTATGATTCTATTTTACAGTATTCGCAGCCACAATTTTATGTTTTATGTCTGCAAGTAGTGGTGCCATATGTGCAACCAGATATACAGCAAGTAATTTGGCTAAAATTATGTTTATGCAACATTGTTGATTTATAACATATAATCACCTGGAGGAAAATTGTATGTAGATAACCATCATAAAATTAATTTAATTCATCATGATTTTTATTGGTATCTCCGGTTGGAGGGAAATCGGGGAAAGTAAAAGTTAAGTAAAATTTTGCGAAAATAGTATGTATGAATATGCTTGATATATGTATGTAAACTAGGAATCGTCAATTTAAATGAAGTATGTATTCGAAGGGGAAGAGAGAGACCCATCATCCGATTTTATTTTGAAAAATCGATCCGCTTGGAAGCAACCTGGTCACTCAGTTTTTGAATTATTAAAAAAAAATGTATTTATATATATATATATATATATATATATATATATATATATATATACAACAACACATTTGGTAGTTCGCGCTGGTAAATTCAAATAAATATTGACATTAAAAATCAACGAAAACGGAATACTTTGTCATATAACCACAATAAAACCGAATTGTCCAGATATGAAGCTTTGGATGAAATGAAAAATATGTCAAAAAAAAAAATAACATCAAAAATTTATATGCTCGTAAATTATACATACTTCACGTATCGACACGATTGAACACAGCACTTTCTTGTTCTGTAAAAAAAAAGTATTAAAACCCCTAGAAAGTAATAATGCTCCAATGTCGCACGGGACTTTTTTGTGTGTGATAACAAAAAGTTGATTTAATCCTTAAACAACCTCAGACTGCTCAAAGGCCTTATATTTCTGGTAAAATTTCCTTCAATTACTCGCCATTCACAACTAATATGGCTTCGTATAATTTCTAAACATTCGCTAAAATCATTTATGAATCGTTTTAAAATCCCTTTTTATTCTTCTTCATTGGCATGGTCACTGCGTACGCGATCATAGCCGAATCAACAATTCGTTCCTTCTTTTCGCTGTTTGGCGCAAGTTAGTAGTACCAAGTGAAACCTTGTCACTTTCCACGGGGTGGAGGTCTTCCTCCTTCTCAGCTTCCACTGATGGCTACTGCATCGCATACTTCCAAAGCTGGCGTGCTTTCACTTAATCGCACGACATGACCTAACCAGCGCAGTCGTTGTATATTCATTCTCAACTTAACTCGTACAGCTCATCGTTTCATCGTTTAACGGTATTCACGGCAAAGGATGATAAATCGTTTGGAAAACTTTTCTCTCGAACAAAACTAATGCCGGTTCATCGGATGTCGACATCTTACACCCTCCGGCACCATATATTGGGAGGGGAATGATGAGGGACTTTAAGAGTTTGGTTTTTGTTCGTCGATAGAGGACTTTACTTTTACATAAGTTTGTTTTCTCTTCACATTTTATAACTATCAGGAATTTTTTGACCTTATTTTTTTGCTCACATATGTATGTATACATATATTTATATAAAATTAAATTATTTGAGAAATAAAACATCGCACTTGAAAATTCAAATACATTTTTTTAATAAAAAAAAAATTATAATTTTCTTTTTACTTGCAGCAAAAAACCGAACTGAGTCCACCCACACATCAAACACACAACACCGATACGAATAGTAGTACGCAAACGGGCAGCAATACCTCTGGTGGCAACAACAGTCAGAACTCAGCCTCATCAGGTGCAACATCCGTTTCAATATCCGCCTCGAACGCCTCCTCATCATCGGCAGCCGTAACACTTTCCACCTCCAATGCCCCACACAAATATACACTGTCATCATCGTCGTTAACTGCGTCCGATGTCAATAAAAGTGGTGGCGCAACCAATCTAAGCACAAACAATGTCATCTCGTCTGCAACGAATGCGCATAAATCTACCGCCGCCAGCCATTCAAATTCAAATAACAGCAGCAGCGGTGGCAATGCGAACGCCCAAAGTTATGCCAAGGAGCAGCATCATCGCGATGATCGCTATACAACGCAAGCGCAGGCGAATAGTGGTGCGAATAACGCCAGCAATGTAGCTAATGCCGCCAGCGCCAATGCGCCCAGCCTATATGTTTCTGTACCACTATCAACAGCCAATGTACCTGGAATTAATATACCTACGAATAGCGCGAGCGGAGGCGCAATAGGTGAGTGCCCGCACGTCAAACTTAATTTGATTATTTTGCCAAAATGTACCAACTCTTATGCCAACATAACTCTCTTTTTTAGATCACCATGCACCACCTTCGCAATCAACACGCGCTGCGGCGGCAGCTATAAGTCAGCAGCAGCAGCAGCAGGGAAGTGGTACAGCGGCAATTAATATGTCGGGTGGAGGCGCACATGCGACGGCCACATCTACACCACTCGGTGCCACCGGCGGTGGTAGTAGTAGTAGTGGTGGTGGTGGTCTTGGCAGCCAGCTAGAGCGTCAATCACCACGTATACACCACCAATCGCCAGCTTTTTCCGACCATCATAGCAATAGTAATAGTAGCTATTTCGCCAACACGGCTACGGGTCATATGCAAACAGCCGCGCATAACAGTGTTATACACCAAAGCGGTAAATCGCCATCGGGCAATATGTTGCTAAGCGCAAGCAGTAATCCCAATTTGATGGCCACCACAACCGAAGCGGGCAATTTGAAAATCAGTTATGAAAAGCAAACAACGCGTGTCAATCAACTGCAGGAACAGGAAACAGCGCCAGTGCGAAGGAGCAGGTGAGTGATTGGAAATTTTTATAACTGTATTTTTGCTGTGCTGTGCTGTCGTTTTAACGATTATACGCTTTTTGATCATATGGAAACACATGAAACACTCATAAACAAAGCACTTCAAACAAACAAATATACGTTCTTTGCATGTTCACTATTAATACTCACAAAAAAAAACCCACTCCCACTCACATTTAACGCTCTTCGTAGTTTGTTTATTGATTCATATTTTATTTAATTATAATTTTTCTCAATATTAACAATTTTATATTATTTTATGTATTAACAACACTGTTTCTGTGATTAATATAACCGAAAATTCCTTTCTTAAATGCCTAAGTTTCTTTTTGCTTTTGCTGCTGTTGTTGTCTACGCTCAATGACGAATCCTATCCACACTTAAATAATACTTTGGCTGCGATTCTTATTGAAAAATGTCAAAAATGGAGTTTAATAAAGAGATGCGCGTGCAGAAGAATTTCCTATCACAAAATATGTTTCGAAAAGGCAGACACTACGACTAGAAATGCTTCGAAAATGCCTAGCAAGTAAACAAAACGAAACGAGTTAATGGAAATTATTCTAAATTTGGCAGTAGTGTAACTGTCGTTGAGTTACCTTCTGAAGCTGTAATTAATTTTAAAGAAATGCCGTTGTTTGCTTCACTTTTTTACTGTGGATTTGAGTAATAAAAAAAAAACTCGGCGGGTAAATAGTGAACTTGAAGGATGCACATCTAAGAATAAGCATACTAAAAGAATTAGAACAGACGTCTGATTCCTTTGGAAATAAGATGATGTAAATAATAAATTAAAAAAAAAGAATCCCGAATTCATTTACAAAGGAAAAAGCTTACTTTTAAAAGGAATAGCTAAAACAGCGTGCTGCTTAACTGTATTAAATAATGATCGCATACAAACCATCAAAAGTGTTCTCAAATCCTTTAGGTCTCAGATATATTTACTCCTTACCACGCTGCTTTATGCTAAATAGATAAAAATTGTTACTTAATTTGAAGACATATGGAGTAAGGAAAAATTCGACTCCCCTATCTATGCTGAATATATTTTGCTTTGTAAAAATTATTATTACTTTTTAACTTTATTTTCTTGAAAATTAAATTACGTATTTTTTTTTTTGTCTGTTATTCACCACCCACACACAAAAAAGCAGACACAATATGACAGTAAATAAATAATTAAAATTTAAATAATTAAAGCTGTGTTTAGTTACAATACAAAAACAAATCACACACCAAAACCACCAAGTCCTTCACTTTTTACCATATGGTTTTTCAATAAGAGCTGTTGTTTTGATATTAAAAGCAAAATGGTATTTTTTGAGACAAGTGTTCGAATGTTCATTTTCAATGTATAGGGGAAGATATGTCATTCTTCTTCTTCTTTATTGACGTTGGCACCGCTTACTTTAATCGAGAGATGATAACACGGCCTGAAAAATTTTCCCTTGTAAGTTCAATGGTTTCGAAGTGTGGCATGTAGCATCGTTTCGTTGAAAGTAAACGTTGTCCAGATCAATATCATCCAATCCAGGCCTCAATAATAATTAATCATCTCTCGATAACGCAATCTATTCATTTTCGAAAATGTAAGCATCCAATGACTCCGCCGGACCATAAAGTGTACCTACCGCATATAGACGTTAAGGATGGAAAACCTTTTCAACAATAAATATTGAGTTTTCCGAGCCCCAGTTGCGGCAGTTTTGCCATCAAGGTGGAAATGGGACTCATCAGTCAAGATAATTCATCGATGTATTTCCAGATTATTTTCAGGCATTTCAAGGACCCCATCAGCAAAGACAAGAAATTGTTGATGATCGGCCGGCTTGAGTTCTTGTGCTAACTGAACCATATAAGCCTTAAAACCCAAGTTTTTAGGAAAAATACGGTGTAATAATGACATTTGTGGAATGCCCAATTCCGAAGAACGACATGAAAGGCTTGAACCTGGGTTTTCTTCAACACTGTGGACTACAGCAGCAATATTCTCAGTTGTTATGGAACGACGTGCACGTGTTTTATTCTTCACTTCACTAAATTGTCCCAAAAGCTCCAATTTGTGAACTGCGATGCGACACGACTACTGAAAAATGTTTAAGTTTACAAACCGTGAATTTTAATAATTTCAATGCGTTGTTTAATCGTCTATCGTTCCAATTTTATTACTGACGGGCAGGCTATTCAAAATAACACCTCTTATTAGAAAACCCTTAGGATACATACACAGCTAAGAGAAGTTAATATTAAATTAATCCAAAAATTTAAATATTATTTGTACAAATTAGAAACGCTAAAAATTGGAAAAAAAATTTCATTGATTCCTCTTTTTCAATTTTATTTACACGCCTACATAAGAAAATTATTTAAAATTATAAAACATTCGTTTAACCCCAAATTGGACAAAATAAATTATACTGAACCCCTTACCAATTAATAATTGCAACTCACCACATGCATCCAACTGCCACACATATACATACATACATACATACACATATGAAAAACAAATCGTGCAAATTAAGCAACTATACAAGTGAATACTGATGTATGTCAATATTTTTTCTCTGCTTTCTCTAATCTTTTTGCTAAAACAAAAAAAAAAAATTATGAAAATTCGTCTTGGTCATAAATAAAATAAAATTTTTAATGGACGTTAAAATTCACCCTTCACGCAATTCAATGCCGCTGTTTTCACCCACACAACCAACAAAAAAAAATGCCACATTTTCACCATGCACCGACAAAAATTCACTTGGTACGTATGTCTGTGCGTGTGGTTGCGTGTCAAAGATCGCGTTCTGGGGAAAGTGGCATTCAGGCATTGCAAGCACAACACCAGCAACAGCAACAACAGCACCAACAGCAACAGCATCAAAGTAGTCAATCACAACCACAACATCAACAAACAGTGACAACGCAAAAAACGAATTCTCGTTCGGGCAAGAAGAGAGCAGCTGCAGCAGCTGCTGCGGCCGCAGCAGCCGCGGCTTTAGGAGGTGGAAAGAATCGCGATTCACCAATTGAAAAGTTATCGAAATCTTCGCCATCACCACTACAACAACATTTTCGTGCCGAATTAGCAACACCCACACCGCCACCGAATGCACCCTCACCACTCTCACTGCCGCCACCGAGCGCTTCTACGCCTACACCAACACCTACACCGACACACACGCCCTCACCATCGCCGATTGTAATGTTGCAGGGCAGCAGCAACAGCAATGCGTCGAATACCGCGTCACCAACAAGGCAAAAGGGTGCAAACAATAATGGTGGTAATGAAAATAGCACCATCATCGGCGGTAATAACAGGGATAATGGGGGTGTTGGTGGTGGTGGTGGACTTGTCACAGGCGCAGCGAATAATATGACAGCAACGAATCTTTCCATGATAGGTACAATGTCTGGAATAGCCTCCGCGCACGCTTCGTCAGCATCCGCCAACCTTGATTGTGACAATGGCGGTGCTGTTGGGAAGTCTGGTAACAGCAACAACAACAACAACAGTGAAGCTGTTAATCTTAGCGCCAATCAAAATAGTAGTGTAAGTAATGCTAAACGTGGCGCTGGTATTGGTGCAACTGGAGGTTCTACATCTGAGGGCAGCAATACGGCCGTGCCGGGTTCATCAGCGCCTGTCAAGAATACAAACGATACTCAGTTGGTGGCGACAAATTTAAGCGGTAAACCGCTGAATAAGAAACTACTCCGCGCACAGCAAACACTCTATCAACAACAATTGGCTGCGCAGCAACAACAGCAGCAACAGCAAAAGCGTTCACCTGACCACAAAAATGGCGGCGGTAGAAATACAAATCCCACCACAGGCACACCAGTCGCCTCCCCCTCTGTTTCTGCTTCTAGTAATACAACTACCGCCTCCTCTTCCTCTAGCACGGCAACAGTAGCGTCTGCCAAATCTTTAACTAACTTAACAAATACTAATTTTAATACAAATCCCACCACTGCTTCTCCCTCAAGTAGCACTGCAACATCATCAACTGCTTTTACTAACACAACCACTAGCAATAATAATATGAATAACAATAATAACAGTAATAATAGCAATAGTAATGGCAATAATCGTAGTAATAGCCCCGCTAACACAGCTCATCTGCAAACGCAACAACATCAGCAACAACGAACTAATAATATTGCTGCTGCTAGCGACAGCAATAATGATATCATAGAAATTTTGCAATTAACCCCATCCAACTCTTCTACTTCTTCTACGCTAACTCATCACCACCAACAACAACAACATACTACACAATCGAAAACATTGCAATCCACCGCAAACGCCGTTACAACAACATCAACAACAACAACCATAACTGCTGGTATGGTACACCATAGAACGCCAGACAGTGGCATCTACTCCTCCTCGTCCTTTGTGACGAATAGTAGCACCATCTCGAATGCCTCCTCATCGAGCAGTAGTAGCAGCGGTGGTGGCTTAAAATTCAGTTACGAACCGCAAACGACGAATATCGGTACACCGCCGGGCACCATTGATTCCACATCAGCGCATTTACTCACCGCTGTCACGACAGCAACTGCGTCACTAACCGCAACATCGGGTAATATCATGACCACCTCCTCAACAACGGCTATCAAAGACTCGCCGCCCAGTTCACCCGGTTCTGAAATAGGTGCTACGGCAGTAGCAGCGCCGCGCAAACGTGGTCGCAAGGCGAAAGATGCGCATGTGAATGAGACAAAAGTTGATGTGAAATTGTTTCAAAATGGTGGTGGTCATGTGATTGGTGCCACACCGATAACCACGCCGACGACAAATGTTGCGAGTAGTGCGGCGCCCGCCAGTAGTGTGTCCAACAGTGGCACAACATTGCATACTGCCGCTCATATGCTGGGCAATCAGCTTAACCCGAATAGTAATGTGGCACAAAAGCTCTCCGATCAATTACACATGGAAATACAGGATCACAGCATCTATACAGCGGATGCGGTAATGCCGCAATTTGTGGGTGTACCCTTTCCCGGCAAGTCAATGGTAAGTTTATTTATGCCCCTTAAATATGCTATTTTACATATAAATAACGTTTTTTTTCGTACTTGCAGCGAAATACCAGCTCAACACCAAACACGACTAGCAACAATACAACAGGCACGAACTCAATAAGTGCCATTACGCCGGCAACGTCAGAAATGCCTGGTGGCACTTCACTAGCCTCGATGTTTGGCAGTGGTGTTAACGGTAATATGTCAATACCGCAGAGTTTGGAACAACTACTCGAACGGCAATGGGAGCAGGGCTCGCAATTTCTCATGGAGCAGGCGCAGCACTTTGACAGTAAGTTCAATTCAAAAGTACCTTTCCATAGGCTACAATTAAAGGCTACTTTTAAATCACGGTGTTTGCCAATTTTTTTTAATTATAATTTATTCTAAATTTATAATAAATCGATATTTATATATTCTCTCCTACCACCATCCACAGTTGCATCGCTACTATCCTGTCTACATCAGCTGCAACGTGAAAATGTCCGTCTAGAGGAGCATGTTACCAGTTTAATAGCACGTCGCGATCACCTGTTGGCTGTCAATGCACGGCTCGCCGTCCCCTTGAAAACCAACACAACACAGAGCCAAGGTAAGTGAAATAGTGCAGTGCGTAAGAGAGGAAAATATAAGAATTTTAAAAGCTTGTGCAAGTGAGAGAGAAAGGCGGAGAGAAAGAATTTGCAAGTTTTCATGGATGGATACGCAAAATATTAGAAGGCTAGGAAAATAAAACAAACAAAAAAAAACTCCCAAGGATTCTCTCACGTACATTTCTGGAATGCCCTGTGACTTCAAATAAAAAAAATTGTGTGCGACTGCCTTTTCACTTACGGCTCTAAATTTCTATATTTGAAAGAAAAAATTTAAATAAAATAAAGCAGAAGCTCACAAACAAACACAGTTTAGAAAAATATGAAAATAATAATAATAATTACTTTTTTTTTGTGTTGGTGTTAAGCTTATTTTTAATTATATATTTTATATAATTTGCTAGCTTTGCTATGTATGTATGTTTTCTACTTAGTTTTGTTTTTATGGGGCCCTGTATTTATATTTAAAAATTATTGTTTTTTTTTTATCACATTTTATAGTTATTTTTAAGTCTAACGTGAATTGGCCTTTTTTGCTTTGGAATTAGGGTTATATATATGTATATTTATATATATATACGTTAAATATCTTAACAAATCAAACGGAATGCATTTTTGGAAATCCAATTTTTTTCATGCTAATAACTTCATTATTAATTGCATAAGTGTTTATGTGTACATATTTGTAAGCCGAACCATAAACCAAACGCAAACAAAATTCAGCGCATTGTACATACATATACATATATATATATATATATATTAATTATATTTTTATAGCATTTAATTATTTTAAAATTTAGTTACTACACTTTTCATTAAATCATATATATAAATGTATATTTAATTACTTTATACATATGTACATATATTTACCATGTCATATAATGTGTGTGGGTCATACGCATACATGGCTGGATATACTACAATATTTGTATGTATTTACATATGTTCCCATATTATTTGCTTAACGTTTAATACATAAGTCGTAAATAACAGAAAAATTAATAATTATGCCAAAATGTGGTAATGAATTGAGTACAAAAACAAAATTTTACTTGTAACAACTTATAGCGTAGACCTACCTATAATATATGCACATGCACACGCACATATACGCATACGAAAATTGTAACTAAAATTAAAATTAATTTTCCTTCTACAACTTTTGGTTTGTGTAATAAAAAAATAAAAAAAACAAATATTTTACTTACATACAACATATATTGGCTGGAAATAAGTAACTTTGCTTTAAATATGAAAATTTGCGTTTTAAATTACGCATTTTAAATACGTTGAATTTAAAAAGGTAAAATAAGTAAAAAAATGAATAAAGCTTGTCGGCAATCAGTGCTCCCCTTTAAGTTTACAATAGCAAAATACATCATACATACATATTTACGCAAATGAATAATATATACATATATTTCTTTCACCACTCACTTATATAATACTTACATACATCCACATAACAACAAATCTACTTAAGTGCATTCACATACTCTCCCTTAATACCAATCATTTCAGCCATCCTCATTACCATTTGCTTATGTGTAAATGCTAAGTTATAAAAAGTATATAAATATAAATTAACAAATGAATATGCAACCTTCTACATACACGTATGAATGTATATAGAATAGTAATAATACACAAGAATTCTTAATTTATGCATAAAAATAGAATTATATATTTATTAATAAGAACAAAAAAAAACTATAAATTTATTTCCCACAATACTGTTGTCTATTCACTTATCAAACAAACCACCAGTCACCCATTCGTATGTATTTAAATTAGTATTAGTTTATTTAGCTATACAAATTTTTGAATTTTGCTGAATATAAAATGGAATTCTTTAAAAAAAATTAAAATTAAAAAATGGTGTTTGTTTATTTTCTTTATATTATATTTTCATTGAAAAATCGTAATACAAAAAACAACTTCCTTTCGAGTCCGTAGGTGTAGTTTAAAATCCCTATCCAACCAAAATCCGAAAAAAATTTGGTTTCAGGTTCACAAAATTATATATTTTACATTTCAAAGGATTTATGGTTTTTCTCTCAACATTTTCATTTAGTCTCTATACTTTCTATATTTTCAAATACATATGTACATGCATAAAAATACGATTATTATTATACTGAAACCCTTCTTTTTCCTCAGCACACTTCTTTGGTATTTCAAGTATCTTTTTTTATTTCGGTGCTTTTCATGCTCTTTTTCATATTTATGGCAACGGTTGGCTTTTTATATTCACTATTATACCCTTTTCCCCACTTGGCATCTGCTTGACACTATAAGATGCCTGTTTCGGTTATGATTAGGCTATTGTAATGTGATGAGAAACGGCGAATCCGGTGATTTATTTAAGAGGACATTTTATGGCTACTAAAGCAGCAGTCGAAAACGTCGAAATAAAAATGAAATGAATAGGCACTGTACATACATTTTCCAAAAATACTGTTAAATCGTACTGAAAGTAATACTCAACAGCTGAAACTTTAAAAACAATATTTTTTTGATTTTGATTTGAAGAACATACTAACAAAGTCTAAAACTTTCACATTTCTAAGGCTCTCTTTTTGTCAATTCTTCAATTAAAAAATTTAAAACAAATTTTTAGCATTGACATACCAAGCAAAGTCCAAGATTTTCACATTTCCTATGCTCGCGTTTTGTCAATCCCTGCATTAAAAAGTTAAAAAAATATTTTTAAAATTATGAAATGGTCAATATGTGGTCGGTGTTACAAAAATCCTTCAATTTACTCAAGTTATCTTCTTTGTTTGGATGGAAATACATATGTATATACATATGTATGTACATGACATACAACATAACCTCTATATGCATAGCTTTTCCTTTATAAAATACAAAAAAGTTTGAACTGCAACTAACGATGTTACAGCCACGGCCGTATCATCGACAGCGGTAACTGCCAGCGTTGCTACACTCTCCACAGCTGCCTCAGTTGCTGGCGTAACGACGGCGACCTCTGCAATAGCGGCTGCTTGTGCAGCAGCGGCAATAGCCACAACGACTGCAGCAGTCAATGCGCTTGGCGTTAGTAATGCCGGTGCTGGTGGCGGTACTGGTGGACCCGGTAATACTGGTAGCGCCCTAACAACAGTGGTGACAGCTGCAGCAACATCGCTCGCCACTGCAGTGACGACATCGCTTAGTGCTTTAACCGTAAATACACGTTTATCCAATACAACAACAACAGCGACAGCAGGTGCTGGTGTCACAGCAACAACACGTTTAAATAGTGGCGCTAACATTGGTTTGCAGCAGCAACAACAACAACAACAACAACAGCATGGCTTGGAAAATGGCATCGACTTTCGGCAGGCGAGTACTGCCGCAGCGACAACCTCACAACAGCACATTGGTGTCGGTGCCGGTGGCGCCAGCGTAGGATCATCCATCGGCATGAGGTAGATTTTGATTTAAAATTTTTTTCATTTTTGCATTTGAAGTAGGCTAGATTTTTTTTCTTTTTTTGATATTCTTGCCTTACACTAAAACTTTTTGTTCACTTTTTTACTTACTTATATACTTTTCTTATTACCGCTCGTCACCTCTACGTCACACGTATGTTGCTCACTCACTCATCCACATCGTTTGTCCGCTATTTATTGTGCGCTTTGAACTTTTTGCGCGTACTTTATCTCTGTGTATGTGTATGTATGTGTGTACGCTCTGATTGCTAAAATCACCGCAGGCACTCCACGTCCGGCAGTTATGTGAATACCTCAACAGGACCAGCAACAAGCATATCTGGTAATCTGCCAACAGCAATACATCCCAGCGGCCTGGAAGGACTTGGCAATATGCATACGACGGCGGCAACAACAGGCATAGGAGCAACTTCTGTTGTTGGCATGTCTACGATGACTGCTAATCGCATTGCACAGCAACAGCAACAACAACAGCAGCAGCATCAGCAGCACATGCAAACGCTGCAACAGCAGCAGCAGCAACAACAGCATCATCAAATCTCATTGGTTCAACAACAACAACAACAACATATCGCACAAAGTGTCGCCATGCATCATCACCAACAGCAGCAGCAGCAGCAACAGCAACAAGCTGCTCATACGCACATGCACGCCGCCCATCCGCTACATCTAGCACACACGCATACACATCCGCACGTGCACGCGCATGCTCCACAAACGCATCACGCACATTCAACACATCCAACGGCCACTGTTAATCTGAATGCCGGCATCGGTGTGGAGCCACATCCACTTTCAGCGGCACGCATTGGCAGCGTCGGCATGGTGGGCACTCACGTTGGCAATAATAACAATCCCAATAACAATAGCAATACAGCGGCGGCATCACGAGGTGGGTCAACAACTGCAACAACAACAACAACAACATATGCCATTGGTATTGTTGGCGATGGCATTAGTGCTGTGAGTGATGGTGGTGGAATTGTTGGGAGTGATGTTGGTGGTGGCGTTAATGTTAATACCGCATTACTCGCATCGGATAGTGGCCTACCCGCATCCACCGCCGCGTATACTCCTCACTCGCTCTATACTCATCATCAGGTAGTGTAGTGGTGTGGCGTGATGGCTAATTAAGTGTTAAATGTTTCCAAAAAAAAAAAAAAAATAATAATAATGTTTCAAAAACCAATTAATAGCACTCAGTTATTTATAGTAATGTATTAATTGTTTTTAAACAAATTAAACAAATCATTCATGTGTTTGTTGTTTAACTTAATTTATTTTTTAAAGAAATGTTCAAATATGTAAAGTGATTAAATAAAATTTTAATAAAATTTATTTATTTAATTTTGTTGCCGCTTTAACCGAGTGGTTAGCAGTGCGTACTAGTATTCGGAAGGCCAGGATGCGTGTCAATATTCAAAATTTTTGAAAATAATTAATTTTTGTTCGGTCCATTTTATTTAGTATTTCTACCAAATAAACGTTTACTTAACAACAAACACATTTCAGTCACTATCATCATCATAATAATCATTAAAATTATTGGCGCCTTAACCTTAAACTAAATGTGATGTTTTTTTAATATACAAATATATCCAAATTCGTGAGTACCTCATTTTACTAAATTTTCTTATAACTGCATAAATAAATTAAAATTATTCAAATTGTTCTTGATATATTTCGTAGAAAAAATTAAAAAAAAAAAAAACCTTGCATATATTGTGAAAATTCTCATCAGGCCACATCAGTCACTTATCACCAACAACAACAATCACACATCATTGTTAAATGTTGGATTTAATTATGAAACAATCCAGCAATATATTTCTTAATTAATTAATATTCCTTATAATTCTTTTCTCAACACTCTACAATCCGATAGTCGCAGCTAAGGCGCGACGATAACCTAGTAAAGCCCAGCTGAAAATCGACAGCAGCTTTACTGGCATTTCGCCCTAGCCGCCAGCCACAGCAGCAGGAAGCAAACTCAACACAGCGACAGCAACAGCAACAGCAAAAACAAACAGGAAAGCAGCGAAACATGTCAAAAAAATCAAAACCAACACAAAAACCAAAAGCGCGAAATAATTCAATTGATCAGCAACGCCAGGCGACGACCAAGTTACAACCGAAACCAACCACACATCACACTAACCAACAAAAACAGAATGCTACACGATCCAAGTCGACAAACCGACGCGAGATAGCTATTAGAGAAGAAGAAGAAGAAGAAACTATTAAGATATCCTCCGATGAAGATGAAACTACAAAAACTGCTGTAACTCTGAAGACTGCTGCTGATGAAAGCGTTCGCAGCGATCCGCAAACATTTGGTAAATCGAGTCGAGCACGTAACTGCAGTCCGCCTCAATCCTGTAGTAGCAGCAGCTTATCATCACCAATATCTTCCTCTTATCGTTCGCTAGACTACGAAGCCGAAGCAGATGAAGAGGATGCAAATGAATGTGAAAATGTTGTGACATTACAACGAAAATTGGCCGGAGGCAATGCAAATTTGTTGCATGTACAGAATTTTCTCAATTATTTTGATGAGCAACAGCAAAAACCAAAATCAACAGCAATATTCGGCGTCAATGCACAGTCACAGCAGGTCGGCATATGCAATCAACAGCTTGAATTACACAATACAACGCAGTATCAGAGGTTGGTTGGTGAGGGGGACACAGAAATAAACCGATTGACAAATTACGTTGCGCAGCATGCGGTGGATGGGTTGATGACACTCCAGCAAGCGGAAGCGAATGGCATACCAAATACAACAACTCACACAGCAATTGCTATATCGACAACAACAGCGGCTGTTGCAACAAGTGGAAGTAATGGCAAAACAACAAATAAACCATGTAAATTTACAATATCAACGAAATTTCTACGCAAACCACGGCATAAGTTGAAATCAGTCAATTTAACACCATCTGCGGAAGCGAAAAATGTATTGGCAATATCAGTACCAGTCGATAAAGATAAGCTGATGACTATGGCAGAGCAGCGAAATCAGCAACAGGCACATGTCTTACTGCAAATGCAGCAGCAGCAGCAGAAACAACAACCACGACAACAGCCACCTACGGATGAGCCAAATGTCAAGTTTAATTCGAATTTTTCCATTAATTCGCTGTTAAATAAGAAATAAATTAGATATAAATACAAATGTGTTACATAATGAAAAATCCCCCGCGTACATACAAACATAAGTATGTTCATATGTTTGGTGTAGCCAAATCTATGTAATCGGTATTTATGTTTTTATCGCAATCATTAGTTCTGTTCGGTGAGCAAAATTTACAACAAGAATGTGTAATTTAACACTTCACATTTAATAACCGATATGTACGTAGAATTTTGCAATTATAAAAACAATTTTGGCATAATTTGCAAAATTTAAATGCATAGAAACCGAAGTCTAGCGACGGGCGTTGTTGGGTCAATCTCTTAACAAATATCCATTTTTAAACGAAATTCGTAATTCCGGGTGATGATAGTTCACCCTAAGTAGCGTTGTGTTGATTAAATTTTATTTTATATAATTTTCATTTAATAATCAGATTGGTTTTTTTTAGTTTACCTTTTAATATTTTTATTTGTGCTACACTTAAAATTACGCAAAATACGAAAATAATTATAAATATGATTACTAAGATTACGAAAACTGTTAAACGGAATTTCGCAAAAAAACCGTTATTTGAAAACATGTGAAAACCCACCAGACTCACCAATGAAAAAAAAACAATAACAAGTTAACTGACTAAATAACCCAGGTAAACGCCTTTAAACCCCTAATAAAAACAGTTAATAAACTAATTGCATCCCGAAGTTGCCAATGGAAAAAAATATTACTTAAATATAAAAAAAAATTGAGTGAAATATCTTTGTTATACACACTACATACATACATACATATATATGCATTGCACGTATCAAGTTTGTAACAAATTAGTTTGCTATATGATAAAGCAACAACAAAACAATAATAACTTAATATTTGGGTGTAACAACAACATTTATTTTTATTAATATTCATTTTAAAATTTACATACCTATACATATATGTATGTACATATAATACATGCTATACATGTATACAATGAGCAAATGTCCCTAATAGCGTTAGCAAATTAAGCGATAATTTTAACCAAAATGCTTTGTATAATATCTAACTAGGTATTTGTTTATAATATTGCATTTTGTTTTGTCTTAATTTGTTCTTGTTTTGTAGTCAACGAACGCATAATTTTAGCGAAAACGAAATATTTACGTAGTGCTTGTCTATATTCATATACATACACATGCACACATACACCTTAAAAGTACTCATAGAAATAATATTAAATGCATAAGCCCAAATATTAAACATCATACATACATATATACATATATATGTGTTATATATATATAACAGTGTAATTTATGTTTTAAATTAGCACATACGCATAAATAAATGTATATGTATATGTGTACATTGTAAATATAGTATATAGCATTCAAAATAATGATCATAATAAATAATAATAATAAAATATAATGAAATAAAATCGTAATAAAGCAAATGCTTAAACACTTCGAAAATGATTTTCTTTGATTTGATCAGTTTTGGTTAGGTTAGGTTAGGTTGCGGTGGCTACCGATCTGTCAGACTGGATGCTCTTAGGCCTGACTTAGACCCATTGTGATACCATAAAAACTTAAGCCATCAACCTTCATCCTCCAGCCATTTTGATTCTCTAATGAAGCTCACATTAGATCCATGCCTTTGACGGCAGTTATCTTTGATGGACTATCCAGCAATAGCGTCTGTGTGTTGCCCTATCAGACAGAGTAGCCTGTCAGAACTCCTACAACTTTGGGCATGTCGCCTCTTTTTAAGGTGGGCATATCTCGTGATCTCTTCTTATCCCATTTCCGCCATGTGTGCCTGCGGCAGGTTGTAATGTTATTCCACCTTATAATGGATTGTTCATATATGAATTCCATGTGAAGCAGCTTGAATTTAAGAAAAGGCATACCAATGCGTTCTTTATGGGGAAGAATCTGCTTGGTCGTACTCCGCCTAGCAAGTTCATCCGCATTACAGTTTCCCTCGAAATACCTATATATGAGAGACAGTCTGTTCTGTTTGGCGATCGCCTGTAGAGAGATCTTCAGCAATAATTTGGAGTTTAGCTTTTATTGCTGCTTGACTATCACTGAAAATGAAGATATCATTATCTTTAAAACTGCCTCCAATTTGCTTTGCAACCTTCATGATAACAGATATCTTCGCCTGGAAAACACTATGATGGCCAGGCAGCCTGAACGAGAATACCATCGGAGGGTTTTCTAAGAAGACACTGTCGCCAAATGGTTATCAGTTTCTACTATTGGACCACATCTGTCGAGTGACCCCATACCTGGCTCTCTCAGGCTGCCGACTGATGTACCAATAAGTCCAGTGGCAAAGTATTGAGTATCACTTCTAGAGCCTCACTTGGTGTGCTTCTAAGGGGACCACTGATAGATACTGATAGACATTAAGGCACTTCTTTGAATCTTATCTAAGAATAAGCATTTGAAGCTTTAGTTATAGCAAGTTCGCAACGTAAAGGAGCGTTGGTCTTACTACTGAGATGTAGATTCATCGGCAAACTCTGGGGCTTAGACCCCATTTCTTACCTATTGCTCTTTTGCATATACTCGTATAGAGGTCGGTAGCAGCCCTCTCGTATCTTTGAATAATATTGGGCTTCCAGTTAAGATTTTTGTCTAAGATGACTCCTAGAAATTAAGCTTTTGATCCCAGACTAAGTTGAACGCCGTGCAGTACTGGTGAGTTGATAGCGGTGATCTTATATCTTCTTGTGAATAGTACGAGTTCCACCTTGTTTGAGTTGGTAGTCCAAGACGAGACTTTTCTTAGTGTTCCTTGCATCAAGTCACAGAGGAAACTTCCCTCTGTATGCAATGGCGTCAGTAGCGAGTTTACTGTCAGATTCCAGAGCAATGGGGAGAAAACTCCACCCTGTGTATGATAGCACCTCTGCTTACATATCTGGATACTTGGTATCCTTCCAGGTTTGCGCTTATAGCCCTGCTTAGTAGCAATTGGTTGATGAAGTCCACTAATGAATTGTCGACATCTAAACTTAACAATGTAGCTGTAACTGCGCTTGGTAAGATGTTATTGAAGGCCTCTTCCATATTCAGGAAGGCAACAAGATAAAATTCCTTGTTGTAGAGAGGATTTTCAATGAAGGTAATTAGTACATGTAGTGCAGTTTCTGTCGATTTTCCCTTTTGATAGTTGATAATTAATTATGATCCGCTCTAATGCTTTTAACCCAAAGGAAAACAGACTTATGGGTCTGAAGTCTTTAAGCTAACTATGAGTGCCCTTACCTGCTTTGGAGATGAAGACGACTGGTTGCTACTTGAGGTTGTATAACTTGCTTTCTTTAATAATAAAGGGTAGCCCAAAGTGTTGAAGAAAACCCAGGTTTTTCACTTCCTCGTTGTTCTTTGGAATATGGCAATCCACAAGCGTCATTACACCGCATTTTGCTTAAAGACTTGGGCCTTAAGACCTATAAAGTTCAGTTAATATAAGAACTCAAGCCGACCGATCATCAACAACGTCGTTTCTTTGCTGATTGGCTAAAATTTGTTTCCTCGAAAACTCCTAACGCCGACTCATCAAATGTTGTCATTGTCTATGGCTCCGTACCATATAGCAGTATGGGAAGGATAAGCGAATTGTAGAGTTTGATCTTCGTTCGTCGAGAGAGTGATGACGTTTCCTTATCAAGTCGGAAAAAAGCAGTACTCACGGCTCACTCGGCTATTGAGGTTAATAATGTTAATATCATCGGTGTACACTAGCAGCTGTGAGCGATTCCGTGTTAGATTTGTAGGATGTCATTGTGTCATAGTGACGTAGGAGCCAAGTCGGGAGTGTATAGTGTGAGCAGAGTTATTCCAAACTAACTAGCGCAGATTATGGGGTTCCTCTTTTTCGTAGATTTTGGAAATCGCTGCATTTTCTCATAGAATTGAACATCGAACATCTTCTGAATATTTTCATACTCTTGCGTTTCAGCCTCTCTCTCTTTACCTGTCCCCAAATGCGTCTCGATTTCCTCTCGAATTATCGGTATCTCTCCTGTACAGCACGCGACACGGTCGATCACAATCTTTAAAGGTAGACGTGTCTTTTTCCACACACTGGGGCACAATAATCCTCATCGTACCAGCTCTTCTCTCGATGGACTTTGATGGACTTTCATATATAGGAATCCTGTAGTAAAGACAACCATTTAACGGGCCCCGGTCACATTGATCAGTCGCAACCCTTTTGAGAAAGTTTCGCCACCTTGACGGCAAAATCGGCAAATCGCCGTGCACTATTTGGACCACCGGAATGAAGAGCAGTTTTCTAGGCGGAGTCTCTCGTCTACCACAAATCCCAGTCCTTGTTACACCTACTAGTTTCCGTGCTTGTCCTGTCCATGACATTACGTATGCATAACTTCAAATCATAATCCTTCGTCCGTTTGTCGTGGTAGACATCAGAGCCGAAAGATCTCATCTTAGGCTGTTTCAGCCTCGGTTGATTTACAATTGATAGGTCGTGAATAGATTTTTTTCATACTTTGCAATAAGGCTTCAGTGAACCCTTAAACAAAGCTCCTCCTTTTTCTGCAGTGACCCAAGGCTGCACACGGTTACCGCAACCCGCATAAAAACTATTCACTTTTCCAGTGTGTGCAACGAGAACGCCAGAGTAGGAGTTAGGTATTGTCTAGCTCTTTGTAACATCATATCCAGAAGCGAACTTCACTCCAAAGGGGGTGCAATAAGTCTGCTCATGACTAATGTCCCTTTGTAACTAATTGGAACTGATCCTGGCATACTCTCTTCAGAGATTAGACGCATCAGCTCGGAAAGTGTGATGAACACACTGATTTGTTGCTTTTGTTGAGAAAATCCAATAAAAATTAGATAGCAATGAAGTTTAAAGAATTAAAAATCTTACTCTTCTCATATACAATATATACATATATACATACATACATATGTACATACAATATGACATAAACGATATTCAAGAATATTCAAAGATGATACAGCTGCCTCTGAACTTTTAGTTTTTTTTTATTAATTACATGCATTGATGTATGTATATGTACATATATACACACATACATATGTATGTATATAAGTTTTGGTAATTAAAAAATGTCAAATTTTGATTCATGCGAAAAAGCCCATACTTTCCATAGATGCTTCTTGGGATCACATGCATGCAAGCATACATAATATATACATAACTATTCACATATGACTGCAGAGCTTTTAGATATTTTTTTGATAAAGACAAGCAACGACTACCCTTTAGGGAAAGCTACTAGTTTGGACTATAAAGCATTTTGTAATTAACTAGTTCATCTTCCATCTTTTTCCAGTATAGACGAACTGTAATTTTTCAATTGCTCAACGAAGTACCAGCAACATACTAGTGAAATACTAGTGCCTATGTGCATGTTATAGTGGAGCCATAAAAGTCCAAAAAGCATACTTTCAGTTCGATTACAACCAAGGACGTCAAACAAGTGGGCCTCTTGAGCACGCGAGAAGCGCCCAACACCACAATAGCGCATAACTGAGAATAGAACAAAAACAAATGTAGTAGTGGGTGCTGTTATCACACTCGTCATTGGCATAGGTGTTCGCTATATACATATATGTATATACTCGTACATATTTGAAAGTGAATACCCTGGTACTGGTATTATTGCATCTCTAGTGCTGGGTAACAAAAGTTACGCATACACACATACATACAGCATACAACAGTATATATGTAATTCAGTTAATATCTAGA